TATTGCAACGGGCGATTGTTATTAATGTATTTCTGTACAGTAAGGTATGGTATGTAGCAGCAGTTTTTCCATTGCTGAGAGCTGATATTACTCGTATCCTTAGAAGTGTTTTTAGGTTCTTTTGGGGCTCAGGATGTGAATGGATGAAGAGGGGGATGGTGACTTTGCCCGGGGAGGAAGGGAGGTTTAGGTTTGTTGGACCTGGGAAGGGGGGTGAAATGCATTTTCATCAGGTGGGAGTGGAAAAGACTAGGGGGACAGAGGGGGCCACACATGCAACGGTTGCATGACATTTTGAGGGGAATGTATGGAGGGGAGAATGGAGGGAGTGTGAGATTTTTTTGAGGGCACTTTGTGGGCGTGTGGAGCCAGAGAAATTACAGGTGAGGGATTATAATCGAATATTGAGGTAGAGGAGACAGCACCAGTTGAGGGGGCTGTTCCCGATGTAAAGCATGGGGCGCTATATGGAGTCTGTTCGGTAAAACTAAAGCTAGGGCCCAGGGTGCGAGAGATCATTTTAAATTTTTACACGGGGTTCTGCCTACTGGATCAGTCCTCAGAAACAGACGTGTCGTAGAGGAGGGGTTGGGGGGTTATGTGGGGGGTTGGAGACAGCCTATCACGTGGTATACTTTTGCGATTATTTGGGGGGTGTGAGGGAATGGCTGGGGAAAGTGGTCAGGAGGATAGGAGAGACTGGGATGTCGGTGTTGAGAGCACTAAGTCTTGATATAGGGGGGGGGGGAGAATGTAGCACGGGGAGTCGCTTATATAATGGTGGATTTCGTGTACATATCGTGGGGAATGAGAGGGATGGATAATGGGGAGGCGAGGAAACGAGTTTTAGCGAGGATTTTTTGTAGGTCAATGAATAGGAATCGGGAAATTTATGGGAGGGGATGGGAGGGAGATTTCACGGAGGGTTACAGGTCCATCACTGTTGGGGAGTTGCTAGAGTTGTAAGGGGGGTGAAGCAAGTTTAGATTGTTGTGTGAAGCGTTCGATAAAAGGGGGGGGTACCAAACGGGCTTGCCAAACGAAAGATGTTGGTGGGAGGAGGTTTGGCGTGCATGTGTGTGGGTGAGTGATAGGTGCAAGTGAGGATTGTGTGTAATTGGGATGCGCATGGGAGTGCTGAGTTCATGCGTTCTTTGTGTTAATTAATATTTGTCAATTAATGCCTTCTGAAGAAGGCCCTTTGTAGTAGCGTATAATAGTAGAAGTCTGAGAACGCTGCATGGGACAGCAAAAAAGATAGGATTTGACTCCCATTGTAAACTAATTCAGATGTGATATCATGGTACTTAGGGTTATGTTAATAATATTATGGAAAGTCCAACACATCTTGTGATCCTGGCTTATGCAACAGTGTGGGGATGTCCAGAGGGGTGGGTATAGCAGGGAGGGGGTGGGTATAGCAGGGAGGGGGGTGGGTATAGCAGGGAGGGGGGTGGGTATAGCAGGGAGGGGGGTGGGAGGGAGTAACATGATTGAGATCATGTTGAGAGGGATAAAATTAAGTAATATGCAAGGTGAGGGCTTGGTTGGATACATGTCGGGTTTATAATTGTATGACTGGGTATGCATTTGTATTCTTGTGGTATAACATACATATGTTTTAGGTGTATTGGGGAATGTATGATATAGCCGTTGTGTCGTTTTGGCATAGTGTGTAGGAGGGAAAATAATCAATTATTAGGTAAGAGTTTGTAATGTGTTTAGGGAAGTGGGAAAGGCCGGTGTAAGTCACTATACGGCATTATGTTCTATATTGGTTTTAACAGATGCACGCATCATGTATGTACTTATAAAATTGCTCTAGTTATGTTTATGACCTGATGTAGTGTCAGGCCAAGTTACTGGTTAGTGCCACATACACTGTACCTTTGTGCATCTCGCCATATAGGTACATGTATGTGCTGTTCAAAGGCAAAGTTCATAATATGGTCAGGGATGTGTATATTAATGTATTGTATTATTGGTGTAGGTGATTCTTCTATAACCTATGTTCAGTTTTATGTATCCCTAGTGTGTATCTGTTAGATTTTGTCTGTCACATGTAATGGGTTACAAGTAAACTGTGTTTGCCGGTATGGTGCAACATTGTATGTTTTATGTTTAAATTGTATATCACCCATGGTTACAGGGTCCATTGTTATTATTATTATTATTATTATTATTATTATTATTATTAAAGATTAGCCGGTATTCTCCCGGCCCGGGCCTTTTCCAAGTGGTGGCCCGGCCTTGGCTTCCTCTTTAGGGAGTGTCTGAGACCTAAGTCTCCCATGGGAGGAGGCACAAGTACCTCCTCATCTTTGGGATCAAGTGTCCCCAGGCCTAGCCACAAGCTAGGCCTCTCTGGTCTGCCATCCCTGCCCCAAGGGGGCAAATGGGAATGACAGTCTTATGAGCTAAAGGCTCGGGCTCAGGCACCTACCCTACCCTAGAAGGGTTAGGCATGGTGTCGATGGTCCATTGTTCTAATGAAGTGTATTTTCAATAAAATATAAAAAAAATCATCCAAAAGTGTGTAAAACTATACAAAAGCTTGCAAGAATCGACCTTACTGTCTTTCTGCATCTTCATTCATTAGGTACTGAATTCGGTTTGATTATTTGAAAACACAATAATCTGAACACTCACTGGATGGTCGTCATTTGGGGCTTTGTTCTTAAATTGCTTTGTACTGTGTCATAGTCTGGGTAAAGAAAGTACAGGTAACATAATTAGAATTTATTGTCCCGTAGCTGGGTTGCTAGTGCACTCATCTCACACATTGAGGTCCGTGGTTCGATTCCCGGTATGGCATCCATACCGGGAGTATTTCCTTCAGACACCTGCTGGCACTGTTCACCTAGCAGTAAATAGGTACCTGGGTGTTAGTCGACTGGTGTGGGTCGCATCCTGAGAACGAAATTAACCTTATCTGCCCAAAGTGTTCTGCATAACAAGGGGCTTTATACTATGTCACTGATGGCACCTAGGTCTGTGTACGTTGTATTTGTAGAAATTATTATTATTATTATTATTATTATTATTAGCATTATTATTATTATTATTATTATTATTATTATTATTATTATTATTATTATTAACATCGTCAATTACATGTTTACTATATGTGGAGCCAGACTTCAGTGACCGCTGAAGGCGCCTCCAGCATAGCCAGGCGCCTCTAAGTCCAGCATAGCCAGGCGCCTCTAAGTTTATTTACATACACATAAATACGTTACACAATTTATCATAAATACAGTTACAGTTAAACAATTTATCATACATAGTAACATGTGTAAATTAGGATAACCCAGGAAAGTCAAAGTGACTTATTTCCTTTAGGGTTCTTTGAGTGACATTCCTCTCAACGTGGATATCAAACATGTACTATAACTCTCCTTGACATGACCAGCCGCCGTGACCCTTCCAAGGTGATAGATGATCATGTGTTAGAGCAACACAGCGCCTCTGGTCTAATGACCTCCTTCGCTGGACAGTTAGCCCAGCGAAGGAGGAGGTCGAGTAACCAATTCCATTAGGTGTCTGAGGCCTAGCAACAGTAAACAGGTGACGTCACAATATGCAAAATAACCACTGTGAAAAAATCGTGAAATTCCAAGGGCTTTCGTAATTTCTCACATTATCATCTTTGTAACTTTTCTTAACATCAACGTAAAACAGAGTTACATCAATCGTGTCGGTGATGTCCACATCAACCGGTGTTATATACGGGAGTTGACATGTGAAATTTTACCATTTTTTGGTGTCGTTATTTGAAGTACATTCACTATTTTAGTTATGTTGATGAAAAATTTTCATTAAATTCTCATTATGCAATAATCATTCATTGCAATTCTTAAATTAAGGATGCAATTAAAAACTTGCAAGCTGTGCAATACGAGTCGCTGGCGAGTGCGCAGTGATTCATGTTAGTAAATCTTCCAACATACACAAAGAGGAAAAAATGGTTATTAACTGACCATAATTTTTAAAAGAGTGGACCGGTAAGCCAGCAGAAGGCCTCGGTCAGATGACCAAAAGCTCCAGCGGCGGATCGTCAAATGACTGAGACCCGCGTCAGGAAACACTTGTCCTGTTTCCTGACAAACCTTACCTAACCTAAACTAACAAAAATATATATACCGAGATGTGTATGTCACTCGTTGTATATGTGCAGAGAATTTGCTCCAATCATTATTTTAAATGAGTGAAGTATTCGTGATTGGTGATTAACATGTATTATACAGTCTTAGTGACCCTCGTGTATTATTATTATTATAATCAAGGGGGAAGCGCTAAACCCGGAGGATTATACAGCGCCTGGGGGGGGGGATGTGGAAGGCATTCAGGCTTAATTCGGGGAACTGGAGCACAGATCCAATTCCCTAAATCAAGAGCCCCTCACCAACATCAAGGAACCTTCCTTGAGGGGACCCTCGTGTAGCTGACAGTCTTTAAACACCATATAACAACCAACCAACCTCGTATTTTTCTCTCTAATCTTTCTTAAACTGGGTTAATTTGCATCATCTTGAGGAGTCCTACTTGGGGTCTGGCCAGTTCTCTTAAAAGAACAGGAAAGAACGAAGCAACAAGCCATTATAACGTAGTAATGTTTAACGTACCGTTATATTCTCGTAAAACACAGCAAACATTAGCGGAGAACTATATTTCGCGAACCACTTTATTTATGGTTATAGATCAGTCTTGCCGTGTAATGAATATTTTTTCAAAGTGTCGTGAATCTTCGATAAAGTTGTAAAAATAAAATTACTATACGTGTTATTTAAGTATCATTTTCACTCAAACTCATTATGATATTGCTTAGTCTAAAATATCTGACCTATTTATACTGACTTCAGGTAATGAAGGCAATTTATCCAAGTATATAATGCTATATATTTATAAGTAATTGTGCATGGTAAAGGCGCTCAGAAAGAAGAAAATGCAGCGAGTATTTACTGATGACCTACTGTGGGTCTCAGAGTCGCCTCAGTGCTTCTTGAGACGCGAGAGAGGAGTGTATGCGAAGGTCTTGCTCACTATTATTCACACAAATGTATCTTAAATCTTATATTGCGTTTTGTAAACAGTCTTAACAGGTGGCCCATTTACAGGTTTACCATAGACAATACCAGAAGGTAATGTAGCTACAAGATCAGACAGCGTAGGAACCACATCCTGCAGAGGCCTTGGGTGGTTCCACACTTATGTTCATTGAGAACTTCAATATCAGGACAATATTACGTCTAATAATATATTAGAAACAAGTTATGAGGCTTTTAATGTACTCTAAGTGGAATTTATGCTTTGAAAGCTTATGGGGGAGGGGGTAAAAAAAAGGCAGCAAGGACCATTTAAAAGTATTTAAAGGAAGAGGACTTCGATAAACACGTGAATATTTTTAGATGAGGCACCGAAAAACAACCTGAAACTATAACAAAATAAGTTGGAAGCAGACTAACATATAGTGAGTTCATGCACACATCTATTTCTGCTGTGGTAACATATATATCAACATGCAACTACGAAGCTTAAGGTAAGAGTCATTACGGATATATTTTGTTGTAGCTCAAGCAGTGTTATAGATCTGCCAGTGTTGTAGTCTTGGTAGTATTGTAGCTCAGTCAGTGTTGTAGATCCCTCAGTCTTGTAGTTCTAGCAGTGTTGTACTTTACTCTTGTAGTTCCTTCAGTGTTGTAGTTCCCTCAGTGTTGTATTTCACTGTTGTAGTTCCCTCAGTGTTGTAGTCCTGGTAGTGGTGTAGATCTGGGCAGAATGGTTCTAACAGTTCATAAGCTATGAATCTAAACATCTGCCCACTTCATATTATCGTACTGCAACAACTACTGGACATACGTGGCAGAAAGATCTCTCTGGTGGTGATGGTTGGAAACTGTAACGTCATGATACAGAAACTCTTAGAACTGTGCTATATGTTGATCAATCTCGTGATATATATCTGACCCTCACTCGCTCATCCCACCAACACGAAACACACTGTAGATCACTACTTACCTAAGTGTTAAGGTTGCCAAGCAAATTTAATAAAAAATTATCTGTTAAAATTTAATTTTAATATTTGTTTTATTAACACATCGGCAGTTTCCCCACCAAGGCAGGGTGACTCGATGAAGAAACACTTCAATCATCATTCACTCCATCACTGTCTTCCTAGAGGAGTGCCTACATTACACCTCTCCTTCAGAGCGTAGGCACTGTACTTCTACCTGAAGGACTCGAGTCCAATTTGCCGATTTCCCTGAATTCCTTCATAAATGTTACTTTGCTTTCACACCAACACCACGTCAAGTCATAGAAGCTATTTCTCCACACGTATCTAACACGCTCACGCATGCCTGCTGGAAGTCTAGGCCCCTTGCGTACAAAACCTCCTCTACCCTCTCCCTCCAACCTTTCCTAGGCCGACCCCTACCCCACCTTCCCTCCACTACAGATTTATACTCTGTCATTTTATTTCATTTTATCCTCTCTACATGTCCAAACCACCTCAAATACCCCTCCTCAGCCCTCTGGAAAATAGTTTTGGTAATCTTGCACCTTCTCCTAATTTCCAAACTACGGATTCTCTGCATTATATTCACACCACACATTTCCCTCAGACACATCTCCACTGCCTCCAGCCTTCTCCTCGTTGCAACATTCACCACCCATGCTTCACACCCATATAAGAGCGTTGGTATAACTATACTCTCATACATTCCCCTCTTTGCTTCCATGGATAACGTTCTTTGTCTCCACAGACTCCTCAGTGCACCACTCGCATTTTTTCCCTCGTCAATTCTATGATTCACCTCATCTTTCATAGACCCATCCGCTGACACGTCCACTCCCAAATATCTGAATACATTCAATTCCTCCATATTCTATCCCTCCAATCTGATATCCAATCTTTCATTACTTAACTTTTTTGTTATCCTCATCACCTTACTCTTTCCTATATTCACTTTTAATTTCCTTCTCTTACATACCCTACCAAACTCGTCCACCAACCTCTGCAACTTCTCTTCAAAATCTTCAATAAATTGCAAATGTTTAATTTCAGTCTTTAGCAGATGTTAAATCTCCATTCATTCTCTCCACACTGGCGCTCTTACCAGCTACTCCATCATAATGTATCCTTCCACTACTCGCCTCGCCTCACCTCGCCTCGCCACCTTCATTACCTCGTCTCACTTACCAGAAACTAAGATACAATGCTCCAAAAAATCCTATTATTTTTAACAGTTTTATGGCACCTTTGATTTTTTCCCTCTATTCTTCACTTTTCCATCATATATTCATTTCTATTTCCCTTTATTATCTTTCTTTCGAGTATAATTTTGCAGTCTCCTTTCATCGAATTATCGCGAATTATACCATAATAATCCGTATAACTTAATTATTCTTTATTGAAGATTCCGAGATTTTGCACGTGTCTTATTCTTCAACTTGTCGGGTTTCAAAACCATCTTCACCAACCATAAATCATTTAGGTTGCAGTCTTGAGGCTGAGTATGGTAACTTCTTTATTTCCTTGTCATCGTGGATCTCCGAGTTCAAGTCAGAACTGACAGCTTATTGGTTGAATAATTTGCTACCATTCATGTACCTTTGTAATCTTTTGACTACCGCCCACAGGATGGGTATGGGGTGCATAAAGATATTAAACTTAAGTGTGTGTGTGTGTGTGTGTGTGTGTGTGTGTGTGTGTGTGTGTGTGTGTGTGTGTATGTGTGTGTGTGTGTGGTGTGTGTGACTCAACAATCAATATTTGCACCAATAACTCATTACAGTTGTGACCGGGTGTGGAAGTGTGAATTGCTCATTACTCTATAATTTGTTCATGATTGTAGCCAAAGTATAAACGTAAGTAACAATTCTACAGAATTCATTACCTTTGTAACTTGTGAGCTCATTACCTTTGTACCTAGTTCAGCTATCAAAACTTTGGAGGCCCAGTCCCTGGACCCATTACGTACCTCTGTAATCTGTAAATACCTTTGTAACTTGTCATGATTGTGACCAGACTTACCTGGAGTTCATTACCTTTGTAAATTGTGAGTTCATTACCTTTGTAAATTGTGAGTTCATTACCTTTGTAAATTGTGAGTTCATTACCTCTGTAACTTGCTCAGCTATCAAAACTTTGGAGTCCAGTCCCTGGACCAATTATGTACCTCTGTAATCTTTTGACTACCGCCCACAGGATGGGTATGGGGTGCATAATAAACATATTAAACTAACTAACTAACATTCATGCACATTTGAAAAGTCGACTCTCTTAGCAATTAAACGAATCTATGGACTAGCATCTCTCTCTTGCGTGACCAGCAGCATCAGGAGATCATCTTGACACATATTTCCTTACTCGAGTCACTCGTGTACTCCCTGGATGTCTTGGTTGTCAGCATCACCTTGCAGGCCGCATCAGCGGACCGTGATGGTCTGTTGCTCAAGACAGTATCACGGCTGAGATTCCCACCACAGCGTTAACTCTGAAACGCGACCTATTTTTCATGGGCTTTCAGAACTAAGTGTTGAACTGATGTAAACAATAATAGTGGAGAGTGATAATGAAGAAGCTTCGATGTAACATTAACGGAGTACTGCCCCTTTTTTCTGTATGCATTACGTCCCTTCTCTTCTCGCTTCTAATATAATTGATAAAAATTATGCTAATGGGGAAGCAATTGGGGAATGTGAGATAAATAAGTTTCATCCAAGAAAGCCAATGGGCATCTCCAGTTATTTTTATCAAGAGACCTTCACAATTATCAAGACATCCCTTGAAAGGTAACAACATTTATAAACAAACAGCGTTCGTCTTTCTTTCGTAAGTGCGTTCTTGTGTCCCTTCTCTGCTCACTTCTGAAAATATTCATCAACAGTAGAAGGTGCTTAGTAGAACTAGTGTTGATGACATAACTGTTCACCTCCAACATATCACGTGCCATCAGTACCACCAGTAAGTGTCAGTGGGGATGACACCAAGGGAAGGATCCACTCATCTGACCACCAAGTCTATACCGCCGCTCGGAAAAGAAAGGTTCCTACAAACTTCACCACAGTTGTGTTTTTGTCGTTATAAAACCTGTATTTGCACGTTGGTTAAAGTCATAACTCAGAGTCAACAAACTCCTGAACGCCTGTGTATACATACTGTACTTCAGAGGAATATACTCTGGTAAGTGGCGTTCGAACGTGATTTAGCTTCGTGACTCGCGAAATCATAACAAACAAACCACGGATGGCTTATTGTAGCCAGCTGGCCCAGTGGCTTACGCACCTGCTTGGAGTTTTACGACTCACTCGCCATTGGCTCAAACCCCGCCCGTTCCGTGGTTTATGATTCAGCTTGCCTGAAAATCGGCTAATGAACACTCTTTAAAACTGATACGAGATCACGTTGACGTTGCAGTAGACACGGCTGGTTGCCTTCGCCTTCCTATAGCCATCAATTCACCACGAGATGTTCAGAACATCTCGGTTATTTTAGATTATACGCTGTCAACGTCAAGTTTCCATCAAGAGCGGAGCCTTGATGCTGACCCTCCAAGAGCGGAGCCTTGATGCTGACCCTCCAAGAGCGGAGCCTTGATGCTGACCCTCCAAGAGCGGAGTCTTGATGATGACCCTCCAAGAGCGGAGCCTTGATGCTGACCCTCCAAGAGCGGAGCCTTGATGCTGACCCTCCAAGAGCGGAGCCTTGATGCTGACCCTCCAAGAGCGGAGTCTTGATGATGACCCTCCAAGAGCGGAGCCTTGATGCTGACCCTCCAAGAGCGGAGCCTTGATGATGACCCTCCAAGAGCGGAGCCTTGATGCTGACCCTCCAAGAGCGGAGCCTTGATGCTGACCCTCCAAGAGCGGAGCCTTGATGCTGACCCTCCAAGAACGGAGCCTTGATGCTGACCCTCCAAGAGGGTTAGCCTTGATGCTGTTAAAGAACCCTGGTTCAAAGAGAACCTATAAAAGACAAAATTACGCAACGTTAGACAAGTTTATCATGACAACGTTTTGCCAGCCAGAATCTTTATCAGTCCGATACAAAGACAGAAAAACAGGAAAATGCATATTAGCGTGAAGGTCATCTTATGTAACGTGGGCGAGGTATACAAGTCATGTTGAAAACCAAACCTGGAGTTTGTCATGTAAGAGACGTGCGAAAATATGTGTAACTTGACCATGTTAATGAGAATAAAATACCTTTACCGAACTGACACTGTCAACAATGCCTAGAACCACTTGATGAGGTGGAATGATGCCATGCTTATCATCAATGAAGATTTACATTGCTCTTTAGAATCTGCAGTCACTTGTCAGAACAGCTGTACACAACAAAGCCTCGCTGTCTCCAGAGTTCACCCTAAGTTTTTATTTATCCAGGACACAAAAATCAGTTAAAAACACACAAGGTAACGTCACATGTTATTTGGGTCACCCTCGCCTTCACTGTAACTGTGTATCTGTACCGATAATGATATTAGCATAGAAAGAGGGCATGAGCGCCTTTAAAGATGTGAATGCATAGCCCAT